GTTGGGTGTGGAGTCCTTTCTGGGGTGCCCTTTTCTCGGGTTTCTCCAGGTGTCTGCTCGCCTTTAAGGAAAGTTTGTCATTTCCATTCCAAACATGGCAATGAAAAAGGCAGGAGACTTTTGCTTATTTCAGTTATATTTGAAGTTAAGTTTGAAGCTTCAATTGAAGGGGTTTAGCTGCTCGAGGGACGCATTGTATTAATTAGAAAATGCTTTAACAACAGGAAGAAATCCACCGGATTTAACTGGTGAACCAAAGTCCTTAGGTGAAATCCACATTCTTCCTTATCCAATGAGTTCTTGGCCCCTCTGATTCTTTATCTCTGTCATTGCTGCTTGTCGTCCCCTCCCCCTTAATCCCCAATAATCCTTTCCTCTTTTTTTGCCCAGATTTTGAGTTTCCTTGTTTCAGAGCTTCTCTCTGAAGGAGACACTTGCTCTTAGAGAAGGAAGAAGAACAAGTGAAACAACACGGTTGTGTGAAAGGTCTATGACCCTTCATCGCCGTGGAAATTGATTCCAGTCATTGTTTGATCTTGGTTTGGACACGTTCCTGAAGTGAAATTGCTTTGGCTAAAGTTGAGGGTGGGTAGGAGGTAAACCTTGAAAAACAAATACAACAGAGGACAAGTAACAACCGGAACGGCCACCGAGGCAATCATCTTTGCCCTGGTTTGAGCCAAGCAGAAAAAAATGTTAAATATCCCAGGGAACAAGAAATGGGAACTAGAATAGAATTTCTGAGGCTCAGATTGACACTCATCGCCCTAAACCCCCTCCCCACAGGAGGAGAAACTTTTCAATATATTTTCCCCATCCCCACCCTGCCAGTATTCCAGCAGTGCAAGCCAAGTTCAACAATTCAGCATGCAAATGCCAAGGTTCCTCTAGAAAAAGAGTCTGATCCCCAGATTAAAGGGAAATCGTGTGTGTGTGTGTGTGTGTGTGTGTGTGTGTGTGTATCAATGGGCATCAGAGTGTGTGAAGGCAAACTCTAATTTTGTGCAAATCACAAGGGAACGCTACCTTTCTCTGTTGCTGTGTAGCCACTAGTTCCTCCCTGTGAAGGCGTGGAAAGCTATAGATAGATGTATTGTGAACATATATATATATATTTTTTTTGAAGGCAACTATTCAGAGCATTTTCAGTACCAAATAACAGTAGTGGCAGAAGAAATCTTATTTTAATTAGGCAACTACCATTTCCCCAGTGAGAGCAGTAGCTATTTGTTACTTTTTATAAATGTTTAGTGTTTGCTTTTAAGAAACTAAAAAAGCCATTCCAATAAGTCGGACTATTCCAGCACTGACAGCAGGCACAGCTCTGAGGCAGTTATAATAACCTTGGACACTACTTGAAACTAAAGAAGGTGAGAGAAAAATTTAAATTGTGGTAGGAAATGAGGTCAGCCCTGTGCTTAGTAGACCAATGCTTTACTTTCTTAATATTGATAAGTAGGCATTGCTGGGGTCTTTTGTCATAGCCAATGATTTTACATTTTAATTTGTATCAGGTCTCATATAAAAGGAAAAGAAGATGATTGTGGTTTGCACTAATAGAAAAAAGAGAAATCTTAGCTTGAAGACTGCTCAGAGAGGGATATCTGGTCAAAGGTTTTGGGACCAGCAGTACAAAATTGCTAACATTTTTTTAAGACTGGAAGAGCATTTTAAGCATGATTGAGGGAGCCAGCCTCTGCATTAATGCACTTATAGACTTGTGATCTATGGTGCACACCATTGTTCTCAGGGAAGCTGAACAGAAGTGTACCCATCCAATGGAAACAGGTTTCAGGATTTCTTTTTTGGCTGGTCACTGCATAGGGGAAGTGGGGTTCCAAGGTGGAAAGTGAAGTGCTTTCTGTATTTTTCTATATTGTGTGCATATTCCAGGTAAATGTGAGCTGCTTCTCAGGGAGTTTCTGAGAATTCTCTGCTGTGTTTTTGAAGTCAGGCGTAGAGTAAGAAGTACAGCTGGAAAATCTGCACTGACCAAAAGCAACAAAATGTTTATCTTGTAGACTACAGATGTAAGTCATGCAGATTTGTACTTAAGATTTCACCCTATCCACATTCATCTACCCCGTCTATCTTTTGGGGGTACGTTAGTCCCAGTAAGGTTTTGGATTCAGCACAGGTAGACAACACCCACTTACAGTGAAGTGAATGTGGTTGGTCATATAGTTAGCAAGACATGTAATGCTCAGCATTTTCTTTAATGATTAAAAGGTTATTTTTCTACTTTTGAGAATTAGTCACACCCTTTATTCATTTTTCTTTCCACTCGTGCTAACTTCTTTCACTTAGTACTGGTTTGCAGTTGAAGCAAAACTCAGACAGCAAAGGTGAAATCTAAATCTGTTTTTCTGATTATTGTGCATGGCTTAAACAAATTGTGTATTAGAGGAGAAGAAGGTAAAAGAAGGTTGGCTTTTAGAATTATTGAAGAGTTCATTTACTTGTTATTCAAATCCCTCAGAAGCACAACTAATAAGGAGAAGAGTGCTAGCACAAGGACTAGTATCTTAACATACAAATAAGTTATGGGGTTGGGCGCAGACAGTTTTTTTGTGTGTTACAATACAGGAAATTTCAGTTTTATTAAGGGATGATGGATCAAAGATAATTTGTGAAAATCCTTTTCATAATTTGTAAACTGCAAAATGAAATCCTTAGAAAGACAGAAATGTAGGTATATTGGCAATGATGTAATTTTTTTCAGAGATGAGAAGATAGATGAAGCCTGCATTAATTCTCTCTGGGTTCTCCTATAAATCGTATGCACATTTCTAATTCCATTCAGAGTTGCATTTGATACAGGTTTATTTTATTTTATTTTAT